CTTCCACTTCTTCCGCGTCGACTTGTACAACTTTGCTATTCCACAAATATATAGGGAAATTGATGAACTGCGAATATTTCTTCACTAAGGTCTTTATCGTATCTGGTTCTAAGAAGTCTGATGCTTCTTCTTTCAAATGTAAGCTAAAAACATTTAAAAAATCACAATATTAAAAAGATTAATTACACAACATAACAGAAAATAAGAATATGTATTGCTAGGCTTTGAGAAACTTTTTGAAACTTCCTAATTTGTTAAAAAGAATTCTATATACATACCTCACAGTCGTTCCTCTCTTCAAGGTATCTCCCCGAGGATCTTCAACAATGCTGAAGTTGGAGCTATCAGATTCCCAGATATACTGTTTATCGTCATTATGCTTGCTAGTGACAACGACGACATTCGCAACCAAATACGCAGAATAAAAGCCTACGCCAAACTGACCGATCATATCGTTCATATCCTGAGAGCTAGTGACGTCCTGCATTTTTCCCAGAAACTCTGCTGTGCCAGATTTTGCGATGGTTCCCAGATTGTTTACTAGATCTTGCTTTGTCATACCGATACCAGAATCCATTATGTGCAATACTTTGTTCTCCTTGTCTGCTTTTATTCTGATAGCCATTTCGTTATTTGTATCCAGGACACCTTTATCGGTGAGAGACAATAACCTAATTTTATCCAATGCATCAGATGCATTCGAGATCAATTCTCTGAGATAGATCTCTTTGTTGCGGTAGAGAGAATTAATAATAAGTTTCATCATGCGATTAACTTCAGTCTGGAATGCAAACTTCTCAGCCCTATCTCTTAGTTCCTTTATTTGAGCAGTATTTAAACCATCGATCTTTATCGCTTCCTCCTCTCTTTGTACTGCTTCATGATCTGCAATAGAATTTAAACGTCACTTAAAAATGTATAATCCAATAATTAATATTCTTATAAATAAGGCAAAATAAGATTTCATATAAGATTAATTGTTGATAAAGAAAATTATGTTTACCAACTATAAATGAATAAATAAAAGGGCTTCTTTCACTCTTTATTAAACAGAAGATTCAATATACTTAATAAATTCATAACAGATATGACAGATTATACGTACAAATTCAAAGTTGATGTAAAAATTGAACAAATCATAATCATAAAAAAAATTCCACTTCTGTATATGAAATAAACCTGCACTTTTCTAAACTCTAATACAACATTTGAATAATTTCGCTACGCATAAACTTCAACGAACTCCTCCCACCTGTTACAACACTACCAACTCTTTTTCAAAAAATTCTAGAATTATAAATAAAACAATTTTCTGTTCAATTAAACTGCAAGATAATAACCTGTTCGCGATGCCTCACGGCTAGCTCCAAGATCGTCCTCCACGGTACCGGCGTTCTCTTCGATCTCATCCTCGGCCCGAACGAATCCTAAAAAGCAAGCAAGCGCGTATAAAATAATCAAAGGCGCATTTCGTCTAAGTCGAGAGAATAGATTCTTGCTTACCCGCCAGCAGGAATAATCCTGCAATCAATAAGTAGAGTTTCCTCATCGTCGCCGCGTCGTGAAAGACCGTAAACGCGAAAGGAATCACCAAGGAACTCGCACGCTGCCACCGCAACACTCCGCTGTTTTTTCACCGACTGTCACGGAACAGCCGTGACGACGACGCGATATACGCGACGGCACGGGGCGGCGATCCAATCGCGTCGAACCACGCAGCACGTGCCGGCCAATGACGGGCGCACCCGACAGCAGCTCGTACAAATGGCGTCGCGCGATTGGCTGTACACGTGCCTCTCATCTCGTTTTAGAAGATTCACTCGCGGCTGGACTGGACACGCCGGACACGCCACGCAGACTCCGGCGACGTATGCAGAATTGTTACAATCGGAAATTGAATTATCAGTAATCTCGAGCGGATGCTACGGAAAACACGACGCGTCGCCATAAATTGAAAATCAAAATCGGCCTTTTTTCAGTTCCAGAGAACTCCGGCCGGTTGCGTTAACGGTTTACCGGTAAATATTTGTCACATTGAGACGACACGTGAATGTTCTACAAGAAATGTGTTTATTTTGATTGTTTCTGTTGCTCTTACAATTGTAATGAGCGATACAACGATTAGTACTTAGGAATCTGTTAACGTTGGGAATGTCTATAATTGATTTCTATCAATGTAAATTGTTGATAAAGAATGATGGAATAGTTTACCTATCGCTAAAAAGGTTCGCTTGATAAAACAGAAAGGTTTTCTTATCAGTAGTTAATAAGCGAGTAAAAAATGCAAACTATTTTTTTGAGTGTCGATAATTGCGATTAAAATCAATAATTGCGATTGAAAAACAGATTTTTATCTCTTTTTATTAATCTTCTTCGAAATCAATTTTTTTACTTCGAATATATACTGATAGACATATCTCATTAAAGAAAGAGTCTTACCAACTAAAATAGAGTACTTTTAGAAATTTTTTTACAGATAGCTGCTTATTCAAACGTTCTGAAGTTTTTACACATAAAAGACATAAGTATATTTTATAACTTATCTTTAAATTTTGCGTTCATATTGGGCTTCTCTCGCTATTATGGGGGCGATCCATTTTATGCTTTGAGGCATTTTTTGTTCGATCGATTCGTAAAATTCTTTTAATGTGATACGGACTTTATAGACATCTTCATAAAATCCGTGTTACACATTAAAAATATTTTACGAATCGATCGAAAAATGCCTCAAAGCAAAAAATGCCTCAAAGCATAAAATGGATCTCCCCCATAATAGCGAGAGAAGCCCAATATGAACGCAAAATTTAAAGATAAGTTATAAAATATATGTCTTTTATGTGATTTTTTGAAAAAGATATTTGAATGCTATTTTATACATATATTTTTTTGAAAAGTACATACAGCTATAAATTTTTATTGACTATATAAACTATACCTAAGCAGAATATCAAGTCATTATGATGTTAAAATGACTCCAAAATGATCGTTAAAAGTCATTTTTCAGTCACTTCCTATTCATTTTAATGTTATTTTGACGTTATCGTGACTTGTTTTGTTCTGTTTGGGTAGCAACATTTATCGATTAGATACACATGGCGTGGCGAATTTAAACGTGGCGTATAATAAAAATAAGTATATATTGTTGAAGTTTGGCAATTTGAATATGTTCATTATTTCAGAATTACAATGACATACAATTAAGGCGAAGTTTTGTGAAAAGTAGGATGGGATAAGAACTGGAGTTATATATTTAATAAATTGATACAATGATGCAATACTTGTACATATAACAACGAAAACGAATGAAAATATTGGAACAATTTTACAATATTGTAAAATGGGCTGCGTCTTTGAAGAAGAAAAATAGCAATAAAATAATTTTTATTGCTATTTTTATAAATTTTTATAGAAACTTTTATTTGATATATTTTTTTATATAATTATAAGAAATAGATTACTAATTAACAAAATTATGTAAATGTTAAATTATTGATATATAGTAAGTAATTCGATTTCTCTTTCGTATTTTTCTTCTACTTTCGCATGTCTTTCTTATTCTTAAGACTTAGCTTATAGTTTATATTCTCAAATGTCTGAAAGTGACCAAATACATGTCTTAAATATGTAATGATGCCAAATACATAATGATTTTGATGTTAAAATAACGTTAAAGTCGTCATCTTGTTAAAATAACAATTCATCAATTGGTTTGTTGGGCAGTTCTAGACATTATCGAAATTTTAAACTGTCTTTTAGGTGTCTTTAAGATGCAATGTTCTTTACATATCTCTAACAAGCGTATTTAATAAGAAAATGGCTATCTTTCAGCTTGCAGTTAATAAAGTATTAAGACAATATTGCTCTTAAGAAATATCCGTTTGTCTATTCTTACTGCATTATTAGGGGATATACATTGCTTTGATGATGAACTTGTCAACTGACATTTGACCACGTATGTTATTTTGTCATGCTGTCCTACTGCTACATAGCTGTGAAATTGGTCTACGATCGCGCAAAAATAAATAAATGTAAAAGTTCAAGAACGCGAAACACTACATAATACTGCGTACACATCACTGTTAGCTAGCAACTGTGTTACGCGATGTGCTCTAGGTAGGGCTGATCAAATATGTACGATAATTTCTTTACTTCTCGGACTTTCTGGTGCGATGCTGTTTAGTCTCAGTTTATCGATGTAGAGTCTAAGTTTATCGAGATCAATCTAGGTCTATAAAGAGGTCAAGATAATATTTTTGCACATCGTTAAAATAAACAATTAGGTGATAACCTAATGGGAGAATTTTCTTAATTAATTTTATATTTAAAAAAAGTCAAAAAAACTCTATCTGAAATATTTTTTAATATTTTAGATATTTTAGATGTTGAAAAAAAAATTTTAGTTATAAAACTTTTAAAGGATGATTTTCTTTTTAAATTTGAAATTAGACAAAAATAAAAAAAAATATATATATATATATATATGTTCTGGATTTTATTGCGTAATAATATATTTCAAGAAAAAGTTGATGGATATTTAGCTAACGTCTTCAGTAAATTTGCTCAATCCATGTTAAACAGTTTGGGTTTGAGTTTGCTCTATCCAGCGAGACGCTCCTTGAATTTAAGAATCTAAATCGATCATACAAAACTTGCAGATTAATTATATCAATTATTTATATTAATATTCTGATAAGACAATCAGAAATGTTTTCTCAGTAATGTCACAAATATTCTAAGTATCTTTTTCAATATAATAACTAAACCAATGAAATGGCAATGACGACGACCCGGGCGATTATTCCCTCAACCCCGAGCGTTCTCCGATTCTCCTTCGACCTCGCCCCTCGATGAAACAATCGGTATCGGCGATCGATCAATCAATTGGTCACGCTTGCAATCGGCGCGGTTTGCGAAGCGGATGCAATGGGCGTGTTGTGACAAATCGGTCGTTATGGATACATCGTGACGCTCCGAGGGCCCTGCAGTGTATAGTCTCTTCCCATACATCGTCCAGGGTGTGTACGTTATACGTAATGTGTGTCGTCGTTATTGTCATCGTCGCCGCGCTATAGGATGCTATAGGATTCGTGACGATCCGCCATGCGGAGGGACCGCCACTCACCTTCCGGTCCTCTTGGGAAAAACGTCGGCGCCGCCTCCTCCGCTTCCTCTTGCGAAGAGTAAGCCAGGTTCCTTCCTCCTTCCGCTGATCTCGTGAACCATCTATCGTCTTCCACTGCACACGCGCGCGTCCTCCACTGCGTTCTCCAGCGTTCTCCATCTCGTTCACCGGAAGCCGCGAGCTAAGGTGAGTGATGTCGCGCGAAATATGTGGAAGGAGGAACGTTTCTAACCGTTTCTATTAATGTAGATTAATGTTAATCTCGGTTCAACTTGCTCTTCATCCTTTTCTAATTCTTAGGAAGAGATAAAGTGTCAGACTCGTATTTATGGTCGATTTTTATATTCGAGGCTGTTGCAGTCTTAAGATGTCATAAGTCAATCAAATGGCTGTATTAATATCTTGAGACATTACTTAAGATTGCAGTCTTAAAATAAGAATTATGAATCTTAGTTGAATCGAGATTACAATTAAATTAAATTGATACACGGAGAGAATTTTTTTCTTAGAGTTTACCCTGAAAATATGATAGTCGTGGGACAACATTGTTTATTTCCAAGAATTTTAATGTAAATTTCCCTCATTCATTAATAAAACTGCTAACAATAAAGTATAAAATAAGTTTGATTAATTTTACTGAAGTGCATGGCAAAAATTTTTTAAATATTATATTGTACCATCTACCATATTTTCGGGGTAAATTTTAAAACAAAATTCTCTCCGTGTAGAGATAGACAGTCGGATATTCTTTCGAATATTCTTTCTGACATTCATCTTTTTATCGCAATTTCTCGTGAATTATCCGCATGAATAATTTTTCTACGAGTGTGTAATGATTGTTACGTTACAAAAAATATCGGAATAACGAGATTATCATTATTGAAAAAGGGATAATATATTTTTTTATTAATAAAAGAGAAAAATAGGATGTGCTTAACTATAGTTTTCCAGCGCTATCTGTTATATCTATTTCAAATAAATCATAGTGAATCAGTACGTAAGCGAGTGTAATAATGTAGATAAAAATATAATAAAATTTATTCTATATTTAACATTTACATAAAGCCAAGAAGGAAACTTGGTTTACAAACTTGGTTTTTTTACCTTACTCATCCATTCATATCTTTCTCATATACACACTCTTATTTTAATTACTGATTGCACTACTTCCTGTCTTTTTTTTTTATCTTTATAATTATTCTTCTATCTTATCTATGTTTTGAATATATTTTCATAGTCAATTAATATCAAGATAATTTCGACATATTATCGACAACTGCATAAAGATATTGTTATCTTTATGCAGTTGTCGATAATATGTCGAAAACAGTATTTCTTAAATAATGTTGTATGAAAAAAGAAATATTGTTTCAAGCCTTCTTTGAAGTAATATATATAAATCTTTCGAATTTTTAAATATAACAACAAGTTGTTAGAAAGTTATTTACAGTCATGTCGCTAATGTCGAGCCGAAAAAAAAGTTTCAAGAAATAATTAAAGACTTTTAGCGAACGGCTGCTTCCACACATGGCGGTCGATGACAGGGAATGCGAACGTCGATGTTGCAATGTAGAAAACCACTATTATTCGTAAAGTGACAAGTTAGCAACAGAAGTTAATCAATAACCCACTTTTTATCTGCCTTTGTGCGCATGATAGTAAAAAACTTTATCACTATATGCATCTCACCACATGTGCAAAATTGCATTTCTGTCAAGATATGCAGATTAGATATGCACGCGTTCAATGTTTCTTACCGACTTTTAATACAATTAGCAATCAAATTGGAATATGAAAAAATATTTTATTAAATCATAATCAAGATTTTGTAATCCTAAATTATAATCAAGAATTTATAATATAAAATATAATCGTTTTCGATTCTATATTATATGAGCGAAGTGGAACTTAAAGCGAAATATTATGAATCGGTGATGGAATTTCATAATCCTAAACTTTATTGCATTAACTATTTGAAACATATTAATTAAATACATTAAATGCATTAATTATATATATTTGTTAAATTCAAATTTATAAATCTAACTTTTCGACTTGCTTTTCTTACAAATAATAAATATTCCTATTCCAGTAGTATTTTTAATTTCTATATCTTTTTTCTCTTCGTGACACTATTTTTATCAATGTGTTCTGTTAATATTCTAAATATAATATGTTCTTTTTTTTTCATATTATTTCTATATATAAAAATTACTAAACTTACAGCAACTCATAAAACACGCTTTTCTTGCAAATAATAAATATTTCCATTCCAGTAGTATTTTTAATTTCTATATCTTTTTTCTCTTCGCGACACTATTTTTATCAATGTGTTCTGTTAATATTCTAAATATGTATTCTTTTTTTTTCATATCATTTCTATATATAAAAATTACTAAACTCACAGCAACTCATAAAACACACTTTTCGAAAGTATAGAATTTTAAGCTTTAAAACCATTTTTTTAAATTTTTTATTTCGTTCATTTTTAAGTTTTTTGAATAAAACAGATACGAATTTTTGCACTCATTCAATAATGGGTGCTTTCCATTTAATGACACAAGTCGATACAAACATCATTCGATTTTTCTTGGCAACACAAAGAGTAACAAAAATAGAATAACACTTGTGTCACCAAATGAAAAGCACCCAATATCTTTCGAGACGTTGCGCAGCATCACGTTACTTCTCCTGTAAATGTCCACTTTTGGAATGTAAACGCGCGCGGCTCTCTCGTTCTTGTCCCTCTCTCTTATCTCTACGTGTTGCACCTGACTCATATTATCACGTGAGCGAATGACGTTTCCCTTTCCAGCAATGTTCAGCTTGAGACCACAGAGTGCTACGACGCGACAGGAGATTGAAATGATTAACAAAGCCCAACGGGCTATAAACAACGCCACGGATACCATGGAGAAGTTACGTCTACTTTGCCTAGCTAGAGGTGCCAATGGCATTCTTGGTTTGGGTAGGTGAGTCTCGAAAGCATTCTTTAATATTTATATTGTTATTAAATGCAATTACGAAATCACAAGGCGAAAGTCCTCATCATGTTCGTTTTTCTTATAACTAGGTCGTGCCCCAAATTATCTTTTTTCAATCTTTTTCTCGTACAATTGACTACGTTCTGATTGATATTTCTTTTTAAGCATTTACACTCTTCCTTTAATCTTAATTATTATTTGAAAAAAAGATAGTGTCTTTCCAATTATACATCTCAGAAAAGACTTTCGTTTGAGACAAGATTTTGATTCTTTTGTATACTATAAAACATAAATATTTGTTTTTACCAATGTACACCACCGCTGAAAAGTATTTGCCTAGCCTGTCTTTCTTAATTAAATAAAGAATTTCAATTAATCTTCTTTTTTGATCTTTTAAAATTCTAAATGTTAGGCTTATAATAAGAATGTTTAGCTCAAAGTTTTACATTATATATATATATTACTTCCCTACTTCAAAAGTGACATAATTTAAAAAAATGAATTTCCCAGAAAAGGGGAAAAGAAAAACCTATTTTTTAACTTGACGAAATTATTAATTAATTAAATAATATCGGAAGGTTAAATAATATTAGGGAAAAATTATCAACACGATCAAATATTATTTTTTTCATTTTTGTGTTCCATAATTCTTTATTTAAAAAACACTTTAAACCATGATAATTTTGACGATTTTTTATTTAGCTAAATTAATTTACTTTTGATAATTGATAGCATAATATTTACATTCGTTTATGTTAATAACTCAAGAATCAAGATAATTATTTAAAGATCGAGGAAAAATATTGTTAGTGGTAGTATAAACTAATTGTAATCTCAGCTGAACTTATTTTTTATCTTTTTTTAAAATTCTAAGAATAAAATGGATTTAGAGAGTAAATTAAACCGATCAAATTAAGTTTACAATAGACATGGACATAATCCCAACACAGGAACGACAGATTCTAAGTAAAAAAATAAGACAGATAATTTTAACAAAATGGATTTAAATTTAAGTGACTGCTGAAAAGAAAAATTGCAAAAAAAAATGTGAATACACAGGGTTAGATAACAGGGAGAGAATAAAATCCAAAATTGATGCAAACTTTAATGTTAATAATTTGCGGATAGTGATTCATCATGAACATCATGTGCGTGCGATGATGATACGGTTTTTATGTTTTTATCACACATGAATCAGCCTGATATCACTGTCCTCGACCTTTATATAGTCTATATACTTACGTAACACGGTGAGACATTTAAATTTCGCGTTATTATATATTTCTTCAGAGTATTCCGTCGTATGGACGATGATGGCAACAAGAAGTTAAATTTTGAAGAGTTTAAAACGGGTTTAGAGGAGACCGGATTGGAACTCTCTGAAGATGAAATCGATGAAGTCTTTAAGAAATTCGACACTAACGAGGACGCGAATATCAGCGTTGAAGAGTTTCTCGTTGGCATAAGAGTGAGTTTATGTATTTTTTAAATTGTGCTTACTGTTTATTTTAGCGCTGTTTGATTTTTACCAAGATAAATGTCTAATTAAGAGAAACATTTATGCGTCGTTCAAACGAAAAATCGTATTTAAAAATTGACGATAAGAATAGAAAACTAGCATTAAAATTTATAATGCGCGTAAATGTGTAATCGTAGAAATTATTAATTAAATTAATGAGATAATTTTTCCCGTCAGCCACCGTTGAATCAAAGCCGCAGAAATGTAGTAGATCAAGCGTTCCAGAAATTGGACAAGACCGGCGATGGGCGGATCACCATCGACGATCTACGAGGAATTTACAATGTGAAATGTCATCCGCGTTATATCAGCGGTGAGGAAAGCGAAGAGAGTATCCTAAACAAGTTCCTCTCGAATTTCGAGCACGGAGGCAACGAAGACGGTGTCGTAAGTTTTATGATATTTCTTACGTATTCTTCTAGTCTCTTATTTCACAAGAGAACGTGCTACATTGAAAAAGTGAGATCACGAAACTATAACGTTACTATAGCTGAAACATCACGTTCAAAATAAATATTCTAGGTGTTCAAATCCTCCAAGTGGGTCAATAAGTCCTTGAATTTAAAATCTAAGCAGCTTATTGATGGTCCTCTTCAAACTCTACAACTTTTATTTAATAACTTATATTTAAAGATATCAAGAAATTATTTAAAAATCCGTTATGACAAAGTTATAATGTAAATCAGTTATATATAATGAAACGAGATATATAGATATATTTTTATCAATTGACAAAAATTTTGTTTTAATAATAATAAGAGATTTTTTGATTTATTATATTGTTATATGAATATAATATTATTATCGTATTATTATCTATCTACAAACAATTTGCTTATCATTATGATCGTTCGTATTATTTTCTTAATTTGATACCATTATTATTTATTCACTTTATTGTTATTCTTCCTTCTGTTGCAGGTAACGCAAGAGGAATTTATGAATTATTACAGCGTAATTAGCGCGAGTATAGACAACGACGCATATTTCGACTTAATGATGCGTAACGCTTATAAGCTATAACTCTCGATCTCTTTATTTGCATTTCGCGAGACAACACGCCGGTCCTACATCTGTCTATTCCACTACGATCGCATCGACAACTGTAAAAAGTCACTATTCTGCTAAACCAATGTATAAATCAATATCGTTGTCACATTACCATGAATGTTTGTCTCGTTAGACACGCACTTATTCCGCTAATTTTGCAGTCTAGCAAAAAGTAATTTAGTAAAAGGTGTCATTATACTAATTAATCCAATATTAATCATGCATGAATCATCGGAGTGACAAATTAAAACCGGTATACATATACATATACGTAACCTCGTTAACTGTTTATTCACTGAAATATCCTCGGTCGAGAAGAAGAAAAAAAGTGTATATAGAAATCCATTTTAAGGGGCTTCTTAAAAATTGATATACAACTCTACGTAATTTTTTTCCCTTGTCGAGTTATTTGGTTGTCAGACAGCTGCAATAACTTGTCCATTTCTAAACTATGAAAAATTGTACCACGAATTTTCAGAAACAGAAGCGAGAGATACGCGTACAACAAACCTTTTTTTCTTCTTCCTCGATGTATTATTAACTATTTGCGAAGAAAGTTGGTTATAGGGTCCAATTTTACAGCGCGAATTGTGGTAAACGCGTCCTGCGCGTTTACGTTTTTTTTTTTTTAAATTCCTCTTTGTAATCCTATGTTTATTCTTCTGTGCATGAATATATATGTATACATGCGATTGTAAAACGGATTGACTTTCTCCGCGCCTAAATTTAACTTCCTACGATTTGATTCACGTACTTATTTAAAGTACTCTATTTATTTGATTTGTTGTAATCTATTTTTTATAAGGTGCAATAAAAATAAAATATAATAAACAACAAATATGAGTAGAAACTCATTAGCCCTTTATAATTAATTATGATGATTAAATAAGCGACTTTTCTCATTTGCGAAAATCCTCATTAGCGATCTAATCAGGAAATAAATTACTTTAATAAAGAGTAATAGAACTAATGGAATCTCAAGTGACACGTAAACAGAGCTGTAATTAATAATACAGATAAGCTCAATGTTTTTCTGGGAATGAGAGCAACACTTCCGTGACTCGTTTCAATTATAATATTCTCGAAATTAACACCGAAGCTAAACGTATGTAAAAAAACCCACATAATGTAAAAAATAAAAATTTTATTCGCAGGAACTCAAATAACATTTATGTTGCATAAGATATCTAAAAGATATCATTACATATTTTATGTCGAAAAGATGTCTAAAAGATATTTTTTAAATACCTTTCGCAACACGCATGTTATTTATTGGGAAAAAGTAAATATACGTACTGCATATGATTATATATTTCTAAATAACATGCATGTTGCATAAGGAATTTAAAAAATGTTTTTTTGACATATAAAATATTTAAAGACATCTTTTAGATATCTTATGCAACATAAATGTTATCTGGATTCCTACAAATAAAATTTTTATTTTTTTCTAATAAATTAAACTTTTCCATCGGTTTGTACGTGATAGTTTTTATTTGAATTTGAAGATCAAGTATGCGAAATTGTAATATGATCTTTGCTACACGGTACACGCCCACTGTATCAATAACGATAAATTATCAGGACTTGGTTTATGATCGTCACGTAATCAACAATTAGCTACTATAATAGAGATACCTGTAGAAACTACGCTTCAAAATAATTCTCACATAGTTGACGACGTATTTTTTAAAAACAAGATGTTAAAACTGAAAATATTTTAATTTCAATTACTTGAAGTTACGATGATAAATAAATACGGTACAATAAGTAGAAAAAATATATTTACATTAATTACGTGGCAAAAAATCGGAAATTACAGTTTCGAGAAGTCTAAAGATTAATATTAAATATTTAAGAGAATATAAAAATTGTAAAATTTATTAAATTAAATAAAAGTACAATTAAATGATCTAATATCCAATATAAAAAATAATTAAATATCTAATATAAATTAAGTAATAACTATACATACAATAATGTGCAAAATAGAAAGAAATAAAACAAAAAAAAATGCATCGGCCGGGAATCGAACCCGGGCCGCCCGCGTGGCAGGCGAGCATTCTACCACTGAACCACCGATGCGATGTGAAGATTCTTACTTACAGAGTATAAGTAGTACTAGCGTAAACTAGATTTTCAAATTTATGAAATATATTTTTATAATATTACACTTTAATTTTATAACTTTTAGAATTTATGTCAGCGAACAAATCACCCAAAATAACTTCTATTTGAAAAACTGCGTTTTAATATGTTTATAGTCATGAAGATTAAAATACCACGACTAGAAAAAGTATATTTTATTCTAGGATTAAAATTTTATAATATAATTGATAAATTTTATAATATAATAGCAATCATTTTCGTTATATATAGAGATATAAGAATGTATAATTGCCGATTAAAAAAAAAAATACTCCCCGGCGGGGAATCGAACCCCGGTCTCCCGCGTGACAGGCGGGGATACTGACCACTATACTACCGAGGACTTGGTGATAATGTGTTTAAAATTTGTAGTATATATATTCCAAATAACGTTTATCTTGTAATAAGTAAAACTTCTTTGATTTTATTAAATAACAATAATCGTAGATACCATCTGATAAATTTAATGCATATGTTAAAAACGGACAAATAAAATATGAAAGTTCTCATAAAAGGAATAGACATATCCTGTATGTATTTATAATATAAAAATTTAGTATAAAAATTATTTAATAACTGAACTATGTTATAAATTAAAGTTCTTTTCTGTAAATTTTTTTAAAATTCATAGTGGTTAATTTACAAGTCAGTTTTAATTTAACTAATTTTTAAAGACAAAGGTTAATCTATTGATGCTCATTGCTCATCAAAACTTTCCATGCCTCGTAATGCATACATATTTGCTTGATACGTCATTAAATTATCGCATATACGTAAAAAAAACTACGCAGAATATTAACTTATAAAACGGACTTTATTGTTCTTTGTATACTCGCTCGTTTTGACTCACCTAAAGAAATTCTTGTAGCAATTAAGTTGGTGAGCAGACACATATCTAGAATTTCTTGCGCCCTTGGTAAGAAAATATATTGAAGCCTCTTCCCCTTCAGAAAAAAATTTTTTTTTGGCGATAGCCTCAGCTTTACTGTAGTATAGTGGAGACACAAAATTAAGAAAATAACATCTCATCTAATGTGCTTAAATATTGATAGCATATTAAAAACATTACAATTTTATTACTATCATTTTATTACGTTTTATTACTATCAAATTTAAATTTATGTTTACAAAAATGTTTCATGAATTCATTCATTATAGCGTCTAAATTAATCTGTGAAATCACTTTATGTTCCATTAATAATAAAATTGTCAATCTTTCTTAATTAATCGCAAAACAGGAGATAATTCTTTATCAATTTGAGCTTGTTAAAGCTTGTAATTAGACGCCATAATCATTGGGGTAAATTAAATAAATTTAAAGGACAGCTTTTTAATGTTTAGATAAATTTATCAAGAGAGTATATAAGTTCTTGTACATCATATTTTAATAAATCAGATACTGACTCTAATTTTCCTTAATTATAACTATTGGCACTGGTCCTCCCCGATTTCTAATTTAGGGAATCGATTGTGTATCTTGAAATGAAATAAAAATTACGAAAGCAAACAAATGCATTATAACGTTCATAATTTCATTGGTCAACATTTAGTGAATTTGCTGACTTTTGTAATTTTCATGTTTCAAAATATACTTCCAAATCCTGGTAAACAATTTTTCATGCATGAATATGTATAAAAAAATAGTTTGAAAAATCTAAAAAAAATTGCTCATACATAATTATGCGTAATTTTATATATAATTATGCGTATAAGTAATTTTTTTATATTTCTTTAAACTTGATTTTTTCTAAAACAAATAGTGCGAAAATTACCTTTTTAATTATTTTTATTGTGTTTTCACGTTACTATTATTATTTCTATTACACTAAAAAGTAATTTTACAAAAGAAAAAAAGATGTATGAACATGTATGGACTTATGTCATATTATATAATTATACATGTTTATGAATATTTATGCGTGTTATATATATATGTATGTTTATACATATTTATACATATATTCATGCATGAACAATTTTTTATCGGGATACAAATTCCATTTGTGTCTACCCTATTGAAAAAAATCATCATAAAGTTACATAATGAAATCATGTAATTAAACAAGTAAATCACGTAAAGAATTGTTCCAAACCAGTATGTGATTTTTTTAAATCACGTTATTTGAAAAATCACATGATATTAAAAATAATATTATCATCTATCATACAATTTTATAGTTACCGAATTTTAAAGAATTTTATAATAAAAATAGAAGAAAAAAACGTATCATCACTTTTCAAATTACGTCATTTTTTTTAAATTACGTAATAATTTGGAACAATTCGTTACATAATTTACTTGTCTTAATTGCATGATTTTGTTATGCAATTTTGCGAGGTGATTTTTTTTAGTAGGGTACGTTCGATGAGCTGCGACGAAGTCCGAAATCTCCGACATTTTACGGATCACAATTTTCGATCTCCCTGGATTTGCGCCCCTCGCAGGGGTCAGTTCCGCCAATCCCTAACTACGCCTCCGAGACATGTATCCGTCGCGGTGGCAACGAAAGTTTCGTACGCCGTGCGGCCGCAAGGTGGCGCGCGCGCGCATAAGATCGACGCACGCGCCACGCGCGATGGCGACGCGATCAGTAGCGGAATAATCGTCGTGGAGGTTGTATCGCGTGCCGTTCCTATCTTTTTCTTCCTCCTTCCGCTTCTCATCGCTTCTCTCCTTCTCTTTTTATCTGCCTCCCTCTCCTTTTACCTTCTACCCCTTCTCTCCATTTTACCAGATAACAGCGCTCGCCCGTAATAAAGGATCGGTGACAATAAATGAGCTGGCCTGCCGCGGGAAGGTGCATTCCCGTACATTGTGCTGCGTAAGAAGAGTGCACGAGTGAGTGATACGTGTGCGTGCGCGCGCGTGAACGCGTTCCACTGTGAGTGAACTCACCTGTGGATACAGATATTTACCTTCGCGATCTGTACCTCATCTTTCCCCGCAGAAGACTGTCGTCCGCTGCCAAAATGAAGCGCGTCGCGTTCATTGTCGTAGCTCTACTTCTCGGTACGTTTGGACTGATTGTCATTTTACTCATTTCTCAGATTCTTTGTTCCCCCCATCCGAATTCCACTTGGCAGGTATGACAACGATGTGTAATCTATTCAATTAGAATCCAGATATAGATAAGACGTTTTTCCCAGGTCTCATTGCTGTTGATTTATCTTTTTTTAGACTAGTATCTACATACGCTCGATAAGTACGAAACATTTATTTCTCACGTTATCTTGGAAAATCTGTGGAATAAAAATCCTTTCTTTCCAGGTTTCTCTGAAAATCTGACGAATCGTTAAGTTGTTGAATTAATGTGATTGAAGTTTGGAGTATTCGTGGAGCGAAAATTAGAATTAGATATTTGTCGACGGATTTTAACAATTCAGAGATCTGTTTAAACAGGGAATACAAGAAAGTCGCTTGAAATATAATTACTAATTAGTGTATAAAAGCGGTAAACCCCCCGAGAAAGTCATGATTATCTATCGGAAACAACAATGATAAGCGTCATCCGGAGAAATTCTAGGAAATTGTCAAGAAAGTACACAGGGAAGTTCAATTAGATTTCTAATGCTTTCTCAAAATATCGCAGGAAATCAGAGATATATATGTAACATTTTACATCTCGCAAGAAACATTGTGGTAATAGAAAATTATCATAAACTTGTTATGCAATATTTATGCTGGTCACAGAGCGGAAAATAATCTATCGAAAGTGAGCGTAACGTTTAAAATTTTGTAACATTGCAATCTGAGATATCTTTGTATATCTTTTGAGCTTATTTAAAATATTAAGATCCGGTTTTGACGGAATATAAAATTTCTCTTATTTTTTAAATCAGATTCTGATCGGTCCAAATTTTGTAATCGTTTATGTGGAACGTTTCTCCTGTTAGATATTTCTAGAAGAAAGTGATTAATTTTTCCTTAGAAAATTTCTTCGCTTTTGATATTACAAAACGTAAAATAACTGGTACACTGAAAAATACTCTAAATTTTAATAAATACTTGTTTGAATAGTAATAGTATGTTTACACTAAGCGTAAACATACATTTATTTGATATAGGAACTATTAATTTCATTTAGTTTATCATTTTTTAGTTAATATTTGTTGTAAGTATATGTATTTATTTATATTGCAAGTAAATGTATACTTCTATTCAGAAAAGTATGTCTTAAGATTCAATAAATTTTTCTTTAGTATAGAGTTTTGAAACTTTGAAAGAAATTTAACTACTGTAATCTGGATCTTGTTTTGGCATATGTGAAATTTCACTTTCAAATTTCTCTGAAATAAAGGAAAACGGAATTCCTTTCTTAAAAGAGATATTGAACAGTAAAAGTCTGAATTTTTCCACATTTTTTTGAAAGCTTAGTAAAAAGTAGAATAGCAAAAAAAAATGGTGGAAGTAAAAATATGATTACAGCCAAAGATTTAAGTTAGTTCTAATGTCGAATGCTGTTTAAATATTTTTCTTTTACAATAAATTTCTTTACCGAAAGGCAAACCATGAAGAAGGATGGCTCGCGAAAAGACGACGATACTGCTAGCGTTTGCCACCAATTATAGATGTCAAAAGTCAATTCCATTGTATATATTGTATACTATAAATACGATAAGATTAGACGAAACAAAATTATGTAAAACCTCAAAATTAGAACTTGCAAATTTCTTATTATAATTTATTATAACGTTCAATATAACTCGACCATCTTACAAAGATGACTCAAATATTTCAGCAGATTACGCGTATAATCCACTAGATTACACTGTTTCGGAATGTTTCAAAGACAAGGCATGTGGTTATCATAATTTTTAACGACTAATTATATGTCGGTCATACACACAACGCGTTATTGCGATGACGCAATCTTCAATCGGCTCTCAACGGAGTCGGTTTCTTCGCAACGGCGATTAATCGTATTACGTTCAATTATTCATTGAATATAAAATTGTTGACCTTGATTTTTAAATTGAAATTATAATATAAATCACCTTCGAAATTAATCGAATAATTCGTTTCAATAAATTAATCTCTTTGAAATAAAAAGCATATGATTTTTATAATTTTGAAATATCGAAGAACTGATGGATATTCGAATTGCGAAATTATTGCCGGCCTCACAATAGAAAATTAAACAAACTCTCGGCTCTCTCTCTCTCATTAAGTTATTTAGTATAATTGTCTTTTCGAAAATGTTACTACTTATCGTTATTTATACGTAAAGAATCCGATTATTATTGGATTTTGTTCTTTCCTCTATCGTTCTTCAACAGATCGTTCACGATAACGTTTGATCGTTGATCGACACGTTTATAATATTATGCTCGACGTACTTTGTCCCATGATTACGCATTTAAACGTGATGCTTGTCGTCATATCAGTAAACACCGCGTATTACCTTATTTAAAAAAAAAATACATCCTATTATTAATAATCGGATCGCAATAATAATTATCAAGTAAAATTGTGAAGAATCTATGTATTTCTCAAATAATCCATCATTTTAAATATCTGTTAATTTCTCTGCTAAATATCGATATTAAATTTCTAAAATTATATACATTGAATGCAAACATCGGCTATCTTACTGTCTTTAATGCATCCAACCATTAATAGTTAAGTTACACACACATAACAATAATTTTGCCAATTAAAAAGCATGAAGAATCTGCGTATTCCTCGGATAATTCGACATTTTAAATCTCTATCGATTTCTTTATTAAATATCGTAAATTTCTGAATTAATGTTGAAAGCAAACATCGGATATCTTATCTTTGATGCAACTACTGATAATCGAATTGTGACAATAATTGTTTGTTAAGTAAAATGTTCGAAGAATCTGCGTATTCTTTGGATAATTTGATATTTTAAATCTCTGTTAATTTCTGTCTCAAACATTTTTTTTTAATTTTCTGTTAAATACAAATTTCTAAAATTAATTCGACGAGCGGAATCTGGAGAAATAGTTTATCAAATGATGTTTTTTTCAAATTAATGAATATGATTATTAAAATTATGGGAAGTATCACAATTATTAATACTTTATTTAGTTTATCTCTTGAATATTTTTTATCGGGGTCTGCGTCAGCACACATGGCACATGAACCGTTCAAACTTCGCGACTTCCTGTTGAACGAGAAGCTTCCGCGTAAAACGCCAACGCGTGCAAAAGAGAAGTCTGGTTGGAGCGTCTATTATTTCATCAACATATTAATTTATCATTAAACTTTTGCCTTAGTTATTATTAAGCCTTTGTCTTGATACAGAGAAACGAAATCAAAGAAATGCTTTCACTAACAATTTGCGTGCTTACAACACGCGAAGAACAATCGGAATATGAGAATTATTTGCTGTTATCAGCGAATCCATAATTCCTGCAAAAAAAATGTATAAGAATACCGTGAAACGGAAATTTACGTAAAATAAATGTTAAATCGCTATGAAAAATATTGGGTTATTACAGGTTTTGACATTTTTAGGAGAAATACTTTATTTGTATCATGTTTATGTTTTTAAAAAAATTTAATGATTGTACTGTTCGATAAAGTCAAGTTTCTTATAGAAGATCTTAGAGAAGACATTTATTTCTCTCTCTTCGACATTGATATAACATGTATAATTTTTTTGAAATCAATACTAATAGCATTCTTTTAATGGAAATATATTCACAAATCGCAGACTAATTATATATTTGGAATTCGATACATAAAATTACATAATAACATTACATAATACTCCTTGAATTTCCTGTTAATCCTAGTATGTCATTCATGGGTTCAACGTATTCTATGCGATTTTCTACATTGCTTTAACTTTTTTAGAATATAATTTGAAGACCCGGATTAAATTTAAACATTTTAGAATTTTTTTCCAAAATGGTTATTTTTTGTGAATTTTTCCAATAAAATTTCTTTGAAACATTGTAATTAATTGAAAATAAAATATTATTTATTTGATTCATATTTATCTGTCTTTGTCTGACTTCAAGGTATAAAAAAATTTCACACGTTTTGAGCTAAAATATACCTATTCTAGTTCAGAGATATAGCGTGACAAAGTTGCAAGGTTTCACAAACCCTGATGTGACCGGACCAAAAATAACAATGACTTACTAAGATTAAGGCTCGTCCATGCCAATCGTGTTAATCGACATACCGATTTCGTCTTCTTTTTTATAAGAAAAGGACAAGTCTTTAAAGGTGAACGAGAAAAAAATCGTACAGGATAATTTTAACTAAAAATAAATTTGAAATAAAAACAAATTTAAGATAAACGTAGATTTGTCAACCTAAGCAGATTCCCTAATCCGTTATTTGTCACATCGAAATGTAGTATACTGTTAACTTAGAATATCGACAATTGCTTAGTTAATGTCTAGACTAATCGAATAAAAATAATTTTTTGTCACGATGACTCATGATTACACATGTTTGCTTTCAAAAACTCATTATTCTCCAGTTGATAATACTGTGTTATTCATCATAGCAATTTAATGCCTATTTCTACGAATGTAGATTAACTTTAATTTTTATTTTATATTCTCTTCATCTTTTTTTAATTCTTTTCCAGAACAGAATATTTATGATAAATATTTATTATCATTTATTTTTTTAAATGTTATATAAATTTTATACATATTTTATATAAAATTTTATTCGAAATATTATTCAAAGATAGACTAAATATTTTACGCAATATTTACAATAAATATAAATGAATATTTCTGTCAAATATTTTTTATTTGAATTATAATGTCTTATTAAGTATTTCCCTAATATTTACTACGAGGTTTACAATAAATATTTCATAATGTTTATAATAAATGTTTATGATCTATGCAATCTAAGACCACAAAAATATTTAAGCCTTATAAATATTTATAAATATTTTGTAAATATTTTATAAATATTGTGTGCTGGGTAGAACTAGAAAAAAGATGCAGAATTATTTGAACTAAGATTAAAATTAAATTGTATTGGTAGAAACAGGAATAAGAGTTTTTAAAACCCGTGTCTACACACTACGCATTGGAAATTGAAGATTAGAATTCAGCAAAAAAAAAACAAAACGTATTGAAATTAAAATTATCCAACTCGTCGAATTCTAATCTTTAATTCACAATCCTTAAGACCTTACATTCACAAATGTAAGATTAACCTTGGTTTAACCTACTATTTATCTTTCTTTAATTCTTAGAAAATCTAATTCTTAGAATTAGAAACAGATAAGTAAGTTAAATCGATTTAAGTTAATCTTATATTTATTCAACCGACTATAGGATCGCTAAAAGGCCGATTTTTCCAAAACAATAGCGATTTTAACCGATCTTTTTGTAAAGAATGGCTTCTTTTTTTTAACAAGGAAGACTTTCAAAGCAAATTTTTTTTACAAGAAATCCATTTTTAGCAAAGCAATCTAGAATTGTACATCCCTAAAACCGAGCTTCAGTCTTCAATGTATAGTACAACATGGGCTTTACTGCTTAAAAAAAATAAAAAAAAAAGAGAACGACTTCTTTGAAGTATCGTTAATACATCAACGAATGAAAGTATTCATCGGAAATTTCAGAAAGATAATGATATATTCAAGACCGGCTTGAATATATTCGACCGCATTCCATTTCCTGTAAGAATCATAACAAAGAAAGCTAAACTGAACTCATTCGTTGACGGTTTAATAATACGAATATAAAGTTTATAAATGGTGCATTTCGAGAAAGCTTTACAAGAAGTAAACGGAGATCTTTGCTGGAGCTCAACAGCTTTGCATTATTATTGGAATTGTCGCAATAACTCGAGAGATAAAATCTAATAGCCGTGAGAGATTTGCGGAGATAAAATTTAGATAGAGAATAATGCCGAACTTTATTTAACTTTTTTATTTCTCCTATTTTTTTTATACAATCTATAATAAGGAAATTCACAATTTTATTAAACAAAAAAAGTATATATACATATAAAGATTCATAAACAGGTCAATGAAAGTATAGCACAATAATTAGTGCGCAAAAAATCTACACGGAGAGAATTTTTTCTTAGAATTTACCCTGAAAATATGACAATCGTGGGACAACATTGTATTTCCAAGAATTTTAATATAAATCTCTCTCATTCATTAATAAAACTACAATAAAGTATAAAATAAGTTTGATCAATTTTACTGAAGTGCATGGTAAAAATCTTTAAAATATTGTATTGTACCACAATCACCATATTTTCAGGGTAAATTTTAAAAGAAAATTCTCTCCGTGTACAGTTTCGATTTATATGTACATATAAATTATATTCAACTTGTTGTTAGAGCTTCGAAAATGAACTTTCTTAGTCATTACCTAAATCTTAAGCCGTAAGAAATTGAATATCAATTATAATTGATTATTTTTCTTACTATTGTGATTGATCAATTCTTACGGTTTAAGACTTCAGATTAGGTAATGGCTTATTGTAAGAAGTCTATTAATTCGAATTTACAATAGGGTTTTAAGCCTTAAGCCATAAGAAATGGGCAAATTACAGTCGCTTATTCTTCTCGGATTCGACTGTAATTGGCAATTTCTTACGGCTTAAGACTTAAGACACCTATTGTAGATCCGGGATTATAGTTACAAATTTAATATGGAAAATTAAAGAGAGTAGATACATAACAAAAAAATAATTTAATGTTTCAATCTTATATCTACATTTAATAGTTCTGTAACATGCAATTAACGAAACTCGTGACTAGTATAACACACACACACACACACACTCTCTCTCTCTCTCTCTCTCTCTCTCTCTCTCTCTCTCTCCCCCCCTCTCCCCTTTATATAATATTATTTTTAATTAATGTGGTGTTAACAAAATTAAATCTGGAAAAATTGCACAGAGTATCTTGTACGAAATTGTCATTGACAATTCAGTAAAGATTCATTAATTTTGTTAAAAAATAATTCTTGAAAATTTTCCTTCTTTTTTTCTGGTATTCTGTAAGATATTATTTTGTAGATCCTATCGTCTAATAAGTCACGCCTGCGGATTATGATGAAACTATTACAAAAAATTCCACTAATGCGAGGTCATTATAAACGATATTCCAGAAAAACATCACACATGCACATTACTGTAGCTCTCAGCTGTTATTATGCAATGTTAATAAAAAATCCTTTTTTATTAATTATCTTTCCGCTACCAATATATCATTACGCTAAATTATGATGAACTATTCTTTTAAGAGATTCTAGACTGAAATAATTTCAAATAAATCATCAAGTATTCAATATTATTGTAACGTGTAATCATCATATTGTACAATTCTAATAAAAAATGTACACACAATTACTTTGTAAGAGTTTAATGATTAGCTTATATTTCTCTTTACAATATTATGTAACATATAAGAGGAAAATATTTTTCAATCAGCGTTTCTAAATATAACTGCTACTTTTTTTTCTTAATCGTTCAATAAAAGATAAAGCAATTTCATCTTTTATTTTATCATGGAATAAAAGACGAAGTTTTATCTTTTATTCTATATCGTAATCTACTTTAAAGAAGAGACATTTCCGTTTAACTGTATAAGATACTGCCTTGTTTCAGCTATCGTTGGATGCACGCATTCGCAAGAGAATTCCTCCACCACCGTCTTCCCTGAGCTTCAACAGTTGGGCGGTGTGGTGGATGAACGAATCCCGGAGATTTTAAAGAAAATAAACAAATCAGGGCCGTCCATTGAAGAAGGCACGAATCTTTTCAGAGAAAGATGTGTAAAGAATGCCGGACCAGACGCATATGATCTTATCGATCGCGCCCAAGTTGAAGCGGCACAATGTATTCAGAAGCTCGTCAACGTTACGGAACTCTACGCGGAGATGGAAAAGTACAAGCCGACAGGTGATCTGGATATTGTCTTCAGGCAGTATTGCAGCAAGCGCCAGACTTTACGAACTTGCGTGAGCAATTTCACGAATACGATAGCGGTTTGTCTGGACGAGAAAATGAGAGAGAACAAAAAAATAGTGATGAACATAACTGACTCGCTGCTCGAGTTTGTCTGCTACAAAGAAGGGGATCGAATCGCCCGTATGTATGAACTGAATTAATTTTATTTTAAATACAACAGTAATATCAAGTTCCAAATATAATATAGGAAGCAGCATGGATTATTATACATTAGCTTGAATTATATCTTTGCAGTTTTCATATCGGCTGGAGGACCAGAGTGCTTTGAATCAAAAACGCAAGAAGTTTTAGATTGTGCCAACAAGACGTTTGGTAATAACGTATCAAAATTGGATTTAGGCGGTTTTCCTTTGGGACTCGAGAGTATCTCGGCTTGGGAGTTTAGTCCTAAAGAATGCAGGTGAGCCGTACGAAATTTGTTCACAAATTTCTTCTTTGATGATATTCCTGAATTAAATTTAAACATTCGTATTCAAAATCTTGCATATTTGAAAAATTCAGTTCTTAAAATTAATGTTTCCCTACGTCTTTTTGTACAAGAAGGAGGAACTTATGTTTGTTTGATGCATTACAGGGACATAAACAAATTGCAAATTTGCGTTGTGGCAGAGTTAGAAAAATGTCCGGATCCCACGCCTGCGAATATAATGGATTCTGTATTTAATTTCATCAAGAGAGTTACACCGTGTGAGAACGTACTCGCAGAAAGTGCCGCTGCTACTGGTACACAGTCCAGTGCTTCGCACGTGGGCGCTCTTATAATTATAGCTATTCTGTCTACCGTTTTATCTTTTGTAGCAAGTTATAGTTTCATCCCTGTAACGGTATGAATACATTGTATAGCTTTATTCCAAATATGTGAGAGAAGATACGAATAGAGATATATGAAAGTTTATATGTACCAGTGCTAAATTTAATGTAACAAACAAGAACTCAAAACTGTGGACAAGGGTATTATACCTTCAATTTTTGTTCTCTTTTATTTTCTAATTTTGTTTTTTTTTATTTTTTTACAAAATAACATTTGAATTTCTTTTTCTCGTATAGATATACTTTCTCTTATTACAAAAGTAATACAAAAATTATTCGATTAATTTAATATGGATATTCAGTGACTAATATCAATAAAATAAAAAAACCGATATAATTTGAATATTCATAAATTAATTGAATAATTTTTTACACTAATAATTAGTATAAAAAATCTAAAAAAGTTTAATGTTTAGATATTCCGCACTTAATCAAAAATAGTACAATAATTAACCTTTCAGTGTCACTCTATATCGTATGTCACGTGTTGTCAGATTGGTGTGAAAAATATCATATAAAAATAATCGTAACACATTTTTTTTCAATCAAAACATCAAACATCAAGAAATATAACGATAACAAGCAAATGTATATATCTTTATGAATAAAAAAGGTGTACAGGATTGTTAGCGGTCAGGGAAAAGCTAGGAAAAATCAAAGAATTTATATATGATGGAAATGTTTATTAAAGATACATGGTCGAAATGTTTATCAAGATATATGTAAAGTAAATTAATATATTTATTGCACTGTCACTTGGCTTTTATGCTCTTTCATTGTTCAAATTTGTTCGGAACCCGTTTGTTGAAAGAATTTTTTGAAAAAAGCCAAAGAGGAGCATTAAATAAAAACAAAGATAAAAATATTAAATGTTTTATTATAATAAGAAATAAATGGAAGAGAGATGATAACATAAAATAAACTTGTAGAGCATTTTTAAATTCAGTCTCAGACACAATTTTTAGTTTTTAACTTCTTCATCAAATAGCTTTTTTCACTCAAGTTTATGTTTTTCTTTATTTATTTTTTCTGCTCCTTTAATAGTACAACAAAGTAAAAGGAATCTCGGGTATTCGACATTAGGAGTGACACCGAAGGATTAACTCCTTTCTTTTGAAAGCTACTTATATATTAAGATTATATAAAAAATATAAATATATTGCTATATCTTTTATATGTTCATGTTTGTTATACATAAGAATACTTTTATGTGGTTATATTTATGTATCATATTAATGTAAAAAAAATATATTTTACATTAATACGATAATCATATTACTAGTGTCAAGTTTATATGAATACATATTTAATATTTCATTTTTTTGTACATTTTGTACATGTTCCAAAAATCTTAGGTAAGCTCGTTTAGGTAATCCTATTTTAAATAAAATATCTTCGTTTCTCAACAAATTTAAGCTTTATAGAAAAATATGGAAAATAATTTGCTTTTTTGAAAAATCATCTGATATCCGATTGTATATTTTCCAAACGCTGACACAAATTGTGATGTTAGTTCATAAAAAAGTTTTTGTATAGTCGCGAAGAATAAAACAGTATTGTTTGTAAAACAATTTAGAATTATATTTGTATGACATTTTAATAAGATACAAGCACATGAATGTTACGATCCTTGAACTAATACAAAATTATAAGTGCAATATAAGTTACGGCAAATGTATCTTAATGTATCTTAATAGTTTAAGAACCAAAGTTTCTGATAATTTTATTAAGCCAATGTGTATTTAATAAATTCAGTACTTTATTTACAACTAATGTTTCATGAACCTTTTACATTAAATAGAGAAAATTTTTCTAATATCTAAGAAATATTATCTATTTAAATTTTTATATCGTAAATATTTCTGACGAAAAATGCTTCCGTTCTGCATATTTAATATTACATTTATTCTTTAAAACATGAAGATTTTTAAAACCATAGTAACGTAAGAAAGCAGGATGCATTTGGTTGAATAAATCGAGTGTTTAATATAAATTAAATTATTTAATATATTTAAATATTAAAATAAAATTAATATAACAGTGATAATAATTACAAATGTACTTTGTGTATTGAGAATTATATACATTCTACAGTTGTGAAATAGTCATTTTTAGTACATGCTGTGGTAGAGAAAAAAAAATTTTTTATAAGTATCAAAAGTATATTTTATTTGATATTCTTTAAATATATCAAGAGTAGATATCTCTTCATATACGAAGGCTTGATTAAAGCTCGATTATAATTTAACTATAATCATTTATACCATTATAACAAAAAATCTTTTGTACTGTACAAAACAAATACATGTAATTGTAATCACATTTTTAGAGTCCGATCGAAATTTCGGTTTCGGTCAGTTTCGACCGAAATTAAGAGAAAATTTCAATAAGTAAACCGAAACTGTACAAATTATAATATGCCGGTGAGCATTTGAAAAACTATGTGTTATTATCGGACGAGATCAGCACCGATTGCTGCAAATTAGCCGGCGCTATCTCTTTCTTTTTTATTCTTTTTTACTCGCCAAGTCGCCACATGTCTAGTGCCTGAAATTCGTTATAATTTAAAGAATAATAAGATATTGATAAAATCTTATTTTTAAGAGTACATAAATTTCACATATTTCGATATTTTCCAATGACTTTCTAAAAATTATATAGTATTTGTAAGATTTATCTAATTTCGAGTTTAGGCGAAATTGTATAAAAACCGAATATTCGTTTTTGAATTCGGTCAGAGATAAAAAATGGTTTCGGTCGGACTCTACACATTTTACTTTAGAAGCGCTTTTCCAACGTAAATATTTCATACTTAGTAATAAATATTTAAAAAATATACAACACAATTATAAAAAGAAATAATTATAAAATACATACATTTTTTAATTCTGCGCGCTAATTCAGTTTATTGAACATGAAACTTAATGATAAACTGAAGCTGGAAATAACATCACAAATTACATTGTTCATCAATTTAATAATGATGCTAATGAGCATCTGAAAAAGCGCAAAAAATCTATTGATGGAATTATGTTAAAGGTGGAAGTTCTATGAACTGTTCCAATCTGAATTGTAAATCAGTACCGTCCTCCCATGGCACAATTTTTGCCTTCGTCGACATGGAGGTAGATAATTCATTTAGCCGGTTGATAAGCGAATAGCCTTTACGTGGGCATGCCAGATCGGTCTCTGAGAGGCGCAAAATCGGGCAGAGATCGTTCCCTCCGTCGCCGACATAGACAATTCTCTCATAGCTCTTACCCTGTTTGTGCTTATCCTGAATATACTCCATTAAAATCTGTCCTTTGCAAAGATTGGCAGCGCTCATCTTGCATGTGTTTTGAATATGATATGGGTCCACCCTTAGCTTGTCTTTGTCATACCGGGCTGGGTTCGTGAAGACGTGCGATACAACGCGATTGAGCTGCCTACTTCTCAGCCAAGAGTCTATGAATATGCTATTGGAATCGCTGATAATGATGATCTCGTGACCATTGCCATGTAGGGAAGTGAGGAGCCTCTGCATCCCTGCAACTTCAGGTATACCAATAATAACGTTTGCGATTTGATGAGATCTCACAGAGTTTTCATGTAGGAGCTCGAAGATCTTGCTCATATAGACTATCCAGCCGTTAGACTTCCGTAAGTTGTGCACATCCTTGGATATCTCGATTGGCATCAAATTTTGCACTACTAGATCAGTGTTGCCTTCGCAGATGGTGTGGTCAAAATCGAACGCCACGAGTACGTTGTGATCCATCTTTACATTAATTAAAACATAATCATTGCGTTATACAGCTGCCAAGACCTAAAATTCGATATACCTGTTAAGACATTTATAGCATAATTTTAATTGAGCTATGAGTTGCTTTCTATTTTTACACAAATAATAGTCTGAATCTTACATATATATATACGAGTATTCTATACACAGATGATGACACTACTTGTTTACTTTGATGATAAAATTGTCACATAACAATATAGGTTTATATAATCTCACTTTCAATGTGAGTTAACAAGACTCAGTAAAGCACACGAGCTTGTATAAATTGTAGATAAAAACTCAGTTGAACCTCACTTGTTAAATTGAAAAGGAACCTGAGTTTTAACATCGCAAATAAGAATTATCTGAGTTGTGATGTCAGTGGAAAGCAACTATTGTGTTTTCAATATCAGCATTGTCAGCTGATATTACACAAAATTAGCTACATATATAGAATGGTTTTATTTAACCTGTACTTCTTTTCTAGTTTAACTGGAGTTAGGAAAAAAATTATCTAATTAAATATTAATTATTAACTCACTTGGTGGATACGTAAATTGATTGCAAAGGACCGGCCGGGTAAAATCTATATATAGATTAGCAAGAATCCACACCTGCCAACAACCACTTCTTTTCACACATTTACTAACAATGTTTTGAATTGATCGAAATGAACATGTGCGCCATCTATGTTACTCAAAATGTGGGAAATTTAAGTTAAAAGGAAATAACTATTTGCATATATACGTTAAAATAAAACTGACAGAACTATCAGAAATGGAAATTGTGTTATCATCTTAATCCTAATAGTATTTATTTTATTTTTGAAATATTAATATATATATAAGTATATATATCATTTATATATAAGAGATTTTATATTATAACTTTTTTTAATTTTCGTCAAAGTAAAGATCGGTTTTGCTTTATTTTTTTCATAAAGATAGTTTAGTTTTTAAATATACATATAAAGATACAATAATATAAGATTTTATTAAAATACATTTATGATCCCGAGGAATTTCTATATATCAGCTGAATGTAAATTAAAATTTGCAAACAAATCGTTTGATATAAAATTATGAAAAACTTATGATATAATTTTCTCAGATATTACAGTTGCAAAGCTACTTTATCTGTTGAATGCAATTATTATTATATTACGTATAAAGTTGGCGTTGGAGCCATGTAAAGATTCCACTAGCCCGCACTTGCGCAAACAAAAGAAGACTGTTCTTTTACTGTTGCACTTTCTGAACTAGTACGCACAGTGCAATAAATTGAAGTAAAACAAACGGGAAGATCCCGTTTGCCTACAGTTCTGATTGTACACACCACTCACATCAACTGGTGCCTAGTAATTTTTTACTGTTTTGCCAATGAGATTATTTTATTTTTAAATTGGCCAATCAGCGATACCTGTGTGCAATATGCGATGTGTGCAATCGGAGACCTCCCAAGCCCGATGTCCATGATGTTAGAAATCGATTCGTATGTACTTGACCGGACAAAACCTCCGGTTGTAAAAATTATTATTTTAAATCGTTTGTATTTCGTATGAAGAGTTTTAAAGTGCAAATAAAAAGGTTTGTCATTGTGTTAATTACAATTAATCATTCTTTTTTGGACCATGTACTTGACCGAAATAATTAACCGGATTTAAATTCAACAAAGTTTAAACATGGAATCGTTTGTATTTCGTATGAAGAGTTATGAAGTACCATTAAGAACGTTAGTCATCCAAACATTTTTAATTAAATATTAAAATATCATGTATTTGACAGAATTGTAGATATAGGCGCTACGGTTACGGAAATTCCGTTGGATAGGTAGTCTCTCTAGTATTTTGATATTCCATGACTGTATTATGAAATTGCTTGCACTATGTTTTGATTGTAAATTATTTAAAG